TATTTTTTAGATTAACATTGGTTTTCGACATTGATATTGATTACTTTTATTTAAAGAAACTCATCTTGTCAATAATTTCGTTTTGAGATGTTACTATAATTATTAACTTTTTGGTAAAAATCTTTTAAAGATTGATTAATCAATTCATATTCAAAATTGTTGTTAATATACATTTATTTTATCCTTGCTTTTAATAATGTTTTTACTTTTAATAATGTTTTTACTTTTAATAATGCTTTTTAATAATCTCAAATTTTGCTTTTAATAATGCCGGTTGTGACTAGCACATATTATAAAACCATTGAAAGTTATAAAAAGCACTCAAATAAGTTAAATTAAAACTTACCAAATCACCAGCACATTGTTTATTCTTTGTTTTTCAATTATAAAGCTTAAAATAAAATTAAAGTTGCTTTTAAAACGCTTCAGCGTAAACTGAAAATTCTAACATTCTTAGTAAAATTCAGTATTCGCCTAAAATTTCACAGAAACTTTAAAGTATACTCGAAGAGCCGAGTTTGTATAAGTTAGTTTGCGTGGCTTCGATGGATGAAGAAAAGTTTTTCACGTATAGGAAACACTGCGAATTGGCTTTAAATATAGGCCTAAGAAAACGTTTAACCGATGGGGGAGTAGCGCTCGATAGACGTAAACGCATGAATTGTGGGCTCAATAATTCCCACTGTATTGCGTTATTATTACGTGAGTGTATGTGTGTTTTTTCCTCTCATCCAGCGTATTGTCTCCGCTTTCGAGTACGGACGCAGGGTGCCAACTTTACCTACTAAATAATTGAAGCTAACGTCGGTATTTATTGTCAGACTTATGATCAATATATGGACTGTGGTGTGTAAAGAATTGCCAAGTACACATCATGCGTGTTTTATTGTACGTAAGACGGAAAACATCGATTTTTAACGTAAAGAAATTGCATTTTGTAATATACAATGCACCAACACTTTAGCTTGTAGTCTGAGTCGCTATAGTTGAAATTAAAAATAACTCAATTCTTTCCAGCGAATATTACCGAGGATAAGTCAGATACAAGCTGCTGCATATTGAATAATTAATTAGAACATTAGTTACACGCTCTAAAATGAATCCATCTCTATTTTACTGTTGTATGCGTACGTGTAAAATAAGTATGGTATCCATTTCAAGTACGCGATTATGTTTCATAAAAAGACAACATGCGCTCTCAAAAGGCAATGAAAGTTTAATTTCAAAAGTGCTAAGAGGCACAAATTCTACTACACTACACCGCAGCTTCCGCACTTTAACTAAAGCACCGAGGGTTCCCGTTTTTTCCTTTTATTAGGCGAGACTATAGTATAACAATGCGCAAAGTGTCTCTCAACGAAGTGACAGGATGTCTATTAAAAACATAGAAAAAAAGCTTTTGCGACTACTCATTAAAATTTCGTGCGTTGACGCTCGTGTATATATTTTATTTTCATATGTGCAAATGCAAATGATAAAATTTCATGAATAATCAGAAAAAGTATTGATCTTTTGGTTTTATACATATTTATTTATTGCAATTGTGACTATAAAGAACGATCAAAATCTTTTCATCGATATTCACATTAGTTATTAGAAATAAATTATTAAGAAATTGATTAATGTTGTTGAAAAATTCAAAGATAAAATGTATTGAAATGTACTGGAAAATAATGAATTATAATTCAATCTCAAGATTTTAAATAATACTTCGATATCTTGCTAACTTAATAAAAACTTTAAAAAAAATTTAATAACAACATTATTACGTTCAGTAATGCATATATTAAAATTAACGAGATCAACTGTAACAATAATAATAAATAATCATAAAGTTGACCTCTTTGTACATGACATCTAAACGTATTAAACGCATTTACATCCAGAATAAAATGTAAAAATTACAGTGCCTGTTTTAAAGAAGTAAGTTTATGAATATGGTGGTTATCCGTAATATAAATAAATAGTAATGAAAATATTGCTCAGCTGTAAACTTTGTTGTTAGTACAACGACATCTTTTACCGATGATTTTAAATTTAATACTCCTTTCTTTATTTCAACTTTTGAAAACTTTTGATACCTAAGTAACATTACTCTCATGCCACATTTATTGTCACAAGACAAGAAAAATCAATAGCCTGAAGCTTAAAATACGAGCAACTATAAAGTCATATCGCAGCAAACACAGATATTCTTCAGTCTCCTCGGGAAACTACACCGAATAGCGGTAAGTCGAGGTTTGGTTGGTAGATAGAGAGAAAGCGCTTAATTCGTAAGCCCGAGCGCGAGCGTTTACGTTAGTACTTGAAGGAGGGAAGGGGGTTGCAGACCTGGAGGGCGTTGACTTTAACTGCTGGACTCTAACGAAACTTCCTTCTTGCTCGGCCAAAATCATATAGTCATGTCTCTATCTCTCGTCCTCTACCAATCTATACTCAAAGCCGCGGTCACGCTTTATCTTCCGGAAAATTTTAATCCGCGAGCGTATCTTCCGGGTTTAGAGTTGAACGCTTCGGGCCAATGTTTGCATATATGCTCAACACACGACGCGCGCTTGGTTTGCTGATTTTAATTCCTCATTACTTCTCTCTCTCTCTCTCTCTCTCTCACACACACACACACACCCTCTCTTTCTCTCTACTTTTGTTTTACAGATATATCGATACCTATGCTCTTGAGGAGGATAGAATGAGAGGTGTACAACGGGAAAAAAATAACAAGCGACTAGGGAATTTCCTTATAAGCCCTTGTTATGAGCTTCGAGTCTTTAAGGAAGTTCCGCGGCAAACTTTAAATTTAAGGCTAAATCTCAGCAAAGTTTTTTTATTATAAATTCATGGACGATACTTGCAGTAATAGCGCTTGTGCCGTAATTTATCTTAATTGTTAATTCGAGAGAAAAGCTCTCCTCTGTGGCACGCTACGTGATTTTTTTGCTTTTTATCTTTCTTGCCTTTGTTTCATTCGAACTTACGGTCAAACTTTAGATTAAAAAATTGCTCACTCAGACGGAAAGTATCTGCTGCGTATACAGCCGACTGTTCGAAGTAGCGGCTTGCGATACTATCATTCTGTAATCGAAGGATTTAATTAAAAACGACATACATCCTATTCGATTTCTGATATGTACAGGTGCATATTTGTTTGTTGTTTCTACTCTATTTTAACTAGCATAGTACGATTGAAAATTTGTGAACGATGCTGTTATCATCATTTTTCGAAGTAACAGAGTGTACAACGTAAATTAGATTTCTTTTCTCTCCTGATCCTTACGCATACTAAACTGGCACTCCGCTAAAGCTGCGCAGTTTCAAAACAAAGCATTAAAGTTTTTGCTTGAGACTAAATATCAGCGGTAAAATCGCTGAAAATCTTATTGTTTACAGATAAGAACGAGAGTTTATCGTGGTAAAACGCAGCTAAAACCAGATAGAAAAGCTCGAGCGTGCATCGAGTGAGCGCGCGCGCAAGTTGACAAGCGTAATGTAGTTAAAGCGCAATCCGCGCGACGAAGTGTTTCGTGAATAACAATGATGCCGCTTGCGTAGGTTCAAGCCAATCCACTCCCATGAGCGCTGCAGGCTCCGAGATCCGCGCGCGGGTAATTTTAAGAGTAGTTTCACCCGACCTTTATCTGCTAAATTAAATGGTGATTTCCCGGTCTACGCGGCATCGTGAATAACAATGCGACCTGATATGGAAACTATCCCTTTGCTTTTCGTTCTCTCACGCCTGCTGCTATCGTGCTACTACTCTATTACCAAAGTATAATCAACTATTTCCTTTGCGCTCGCAGATCGCTAAAATCGTCGCTTTATTCAAACTCTCGTAATTGATTGATGAGGGCTAGACTCGTGTTCATCAAAAGTTACATCCAATTTTAAACCAAAATAACGCACGTTCACTACTTGTAGTGTTCACCCTTTCTAAAAATCAACAGCAACGTTTTGTATCCCGCCATTCATTCGTAAAAAATATAAATCGCTTCGAGGCTACATGTACATCAGCTTGGTTTGAAATATTTTTCAAAAGTGAAATAAGTGCAAGCTCGGCTCTTCCCATCCTCGCTGCTAATTATAGCAAACGAAGCTCTATTCTTTCTTTCCCGCGTACTCTTCTTAATTTTACTCGTTAAATAAAAAAGTAATAAATGCAACTAGCGCAAAAGAAGTAAAGCAAAAATTAACCGAGTCCCTATATTCAGGACGCGCAGGTATAACGAATGGATACGGCCAATTTTAATGGCTTAATTAAATGCACTTGCGCCCGCTTCTAAAAACGACAAATAAAATCCAATGGAAATAATGTTGTCCATAAAGGCTGTTCTGCAGTAACGCGCGCAATTAAATTGAGCATTTGAATTTTACTGGAGTCACCCTCGCTATACTCGCTCTGGTCTGCCATCGATTCGCGCCTCGACGAATAAACTCTTTAATCTCGGCTAGAAAAAAAATGACCTAATGACGCTGACTAACGACGCAACGCGTAAAATATTTGTAAATCAAAACGACGAGTCGCAATGAAGCAGCGAACGACTTTACCAAATGTTTCGTTAATAAAACATGCAGCACGTCGAATTGTGTTGGAGTCAACTGCCATCGCCATTCGGAAAGTTGCCATGTTAAAAATTTGGCTAATAACAAAGTTAATGGTATTGCCAAGAGTTACTTCATGGTGAGTTACAATATTCTAGGCTAATTTTACGATGCAAAGCGGAGTTTGTTTCTTTTTCAATCAATTTGATTAAATAATTCGAGAAGTCACCCTTTCAAATTATTTAATCAATGATTTCACACGAATTTCGAAGGAACAGAAGAAGAAGCTTTTGGCGTTTTAGCACTGCAATATTGATAGAAAGCTACGAGGTAGAGGAGAGGGCGAGTAAGCGACGGAGTATGGTGGCCTCTTTTTATGAGCTTCTTAGAAATTTATAAGAGAGCTGAGTACAACGAGGGTGTGCTACTGTTCTAAAGTTTTCGGTGCTTTTTGTGTGTTGCAGGGAAGCCTGAACCTACGGTCAGATGGTATGTCAATGGCAGACTTAAAAACGATGACTCTTATGAGAGCACTGCTGGTGACGTCATTGAGAAAAAGTGAGTTGAAGTTTCATCATTACTGAACTTATTATCAAACTTTTTAAATTTAAAACATTGGAATTATTGCTTACTTCGATATATTAATCAAAGTTTTAATTTGTTATCGAGAAGTCGTATTTGTTCATCAATGTTGAATGAAGTAAAATATAAGTTTTCTGTTCTAAAATAAATTTTCTCGCTTTAATCGCGTTATTTCTTTCGAACATATAATGACGCGAGTAAAATAACGTAAGCTGTTAAACATCTATCGATGTAATTCATCTTTAAAAATAATAATGTCGAAAAATGTAATTCTGTGATTTATACTTATTTCATTTTTTTCTTATTCTTATCTTATTTTTAAAATCCAATATGATAGAAGTTATCTGACACTGCCAGACTGAAAGATTTTTTATTTTTCTAAATTGAAAAATGGTTTCGAAAAAGAATATCAATAGATAAAATTAAATTATTTATTTTTCAGATTAACTGTAAACTCGCTGAATAGGTCCCATCTGTTTTCTAACTTTACATGTCAAGCCCATAACACGGAACTAGTTGAGCCAAAACAAGTGTCTTTGATTCTCGATTTAAATCGTAAGTATGATTTTGTGATTGTAAAGTAATTAACATCTATGAATGGAGTATCGCATTCAATATTTTTACGAAAAGATGCTTTGAAAAAAAAGCGTAATACGTTTGAAACGGATTTTCCACGCGTCAGACAATCGTCATACTGTCTAAAAGTGATTTGCATCGGGCTCTGTGATTGATTCTCACTGCACCGATCGATGCCTATTTTCTGTTTGAAATTCGGTATGATGACATTTTTTCTCTTTTTTTTCGATTCACAACCACAAAAGAAATTTAAATGAACTTCAATAATCATAACTGCCGTTTGGCAAAAAATTGTAACAAGTATTTTCTGGTATAATTGTTTCCCTTTTAAAAGTCGTAACAGATACTATTACATTGTTACTGCAATACCGCAACAATTGAAAATATTCTAGTAGTTTCGTGAGCACAATGACGTCAAAGAAAAAGAGAACGCATCTCGTCATTCATAGTTTTCATATTTCACGGGTAAGCGGATCGTATCTGGCAAGAGATGCTGCTTCTATTGTTGCTGTGTGAGTGTCTGTGTGCGTATCGGGTCAATTCGAAAAGCCCAGATTTATCGCACTAACGGTCGAGCCATCACGTTGAAAATCGTCACCCGAGCAAAATTGAAAACAATATCGTGCACAGGCGAGGGAGAGAGAGAGAGAGAAAATGCATATCGCATAAATACAGCGGCGAGAGATGGAAAGCAAACAAATAGCCTGCGGCGGTAACTTCTCGATTTAGCGCGACGACGGCATGGTAGCACGGCAGGAAAGGGACTATATATGTGCAACGTAAATGGAATAGCACGATGCGTTGATTGTGATTTTATGCGGAATCAACGGCTCGATTAATACCATGCTCACGTATAGGCTGCGCGCGCGACTATACAAGGCGCGTAATCACAGCTCATAATTAGTGACATTCGGCATAATTTCGATGGACTGTTCCGATTACACGAGGTGATGTCTCTCTCTTCCTCTCTCTCTCCCTCTTTTTCATCGATAAATTTCCAAGAAATCTTTATGCAATTCCAGCCTTTATTTTCGTTATCGTTAATTAGTTGCCAATTGGCTAAGCGCCACCAAAATTTCATTAGCGAGTCATTGCAAATGATATATCTATAAATACAATAATATGATAATGATTGATAATCGAATAACTTATTTCTGGATCTTTGGACGGTTCGATGACAACGCTCTGAATTATGTTTGCAGTGAAACCTTTAACGGTGACGATACGAAAGACTAATGGCCTCGACACAGGAAGTGAGTCCTTAAAAGCTGGAGAGCGCTATGAGGTAGAATGCGAAACGACGGGTTCGAGGCCGCCCGCTGTAATTACGTGGTACAAAGGCAAGAGAAATCTGAAACACGTCAAGGTAAGAGGAATAGAAGGAGAAAAAAATGATTTAACTGTTGTGATATTTTATTTGTCAGGGATTATAATGAATCTCGCCGAGTGCACTTCTTCGCTCGTTTAGCTCTGTGTCTCCCTTTATCCACCTAAAAAACAATTTCATTAGCTTCTTGTTATCGTTACATTGTTTACTTTGAAGCAGATAAAAAGACGTAAATTTTGAATTTTCATGCTGTGTTTGCTTTGAGACGTTATAAAATTCCCATTTGACAGAAAATAAGCCGAAAGAAAATAAGCGCGCTTGGTAATATTTTACGGTATTCTGAAAAAGAAAAAGTTATTAAATATAATTTATTAATATAGTCCTGAGCTTGGAACTATAAAAAGCTCATGTCTAAATCATACATTAATTAAGCGCAGAATACTTCCCATATTTACCGAGTATCGACTCTCATATATCAATATCTTCGCCTCACCTTTCCTCCATAGGAGTGAAACTTCTGGAAATTTCAAACAGAGCAATTCCAACCGACATAGCCAAACTTTCCAAAGATTCAGCGTTGGCTTAGCACCTGAGACGAAGATTCCGCAGTAGAATCGGAAAATTACGATGGAAGGGGCTAAGCATGTCTCTCCTTCAGGAAATAGATCGAAAAAAGGCGGTTTTACCGATGAAATATTTCACGAAAAAGAGAGAGAGAAAGGGAGAAAGAGAGGCGACGAGAAACTGGGCGTGGGAAAACGAATCTCGAGTTTGAACGACGACAATGCAAAGAAGTTTATGGAAGACTGTGCTGAGATAAAGAGGAGGACTGAGTAAAAGTGTGATCGAGAATCCACATTAATGGGTAATGCCGAGAAGACTCTGTGTCAACCAGATATTTTCATCAAGTTTATACTAATTACAAATCAGGACGGCTAACGGATTCTCGTAGTATACATTTTAACTCGTCCCTTGCTTTCTCCTCTCTCCTCTTTTTCATGCCAGACTTGGAAAATTAAAATATTTTCGATGAATGCGATGTCAATAAACATGTGAATTGTGTATTTTTTAATATTTTGGAAAAGTTATCATTGTTACATCTTTATTAATAGCAGGATTTTTAAATTAAATTTTTTTTTAATTTGTACTTCAAATTTTCGGCACATTATATTTAACTGAATGACTTTGATCGATCATACAATTTATAATGACTGACTATACCATAAAGAACAATTTTAAAAAGCAATTAAAAAACGACGATAACGAAATTGTTAGCTGTAAACATGGCGTGAAAATCATTGGTACGCGTCAGTTCCCCGAGGAGAATATTTGGCATTACGTCCGCATAAACTGGAGCGGTAATGCGATAGTGTTATATGTTGGCAAACGTGTGCTGCACTGTAAATACATAAACTGATGGCCGATACGTGTTTTTTTGATAAAATGTGATTTCCAAAATAAATTCCCTGGTGATATTAAAAGTAATCATATTCGCGCTTTGTCCGTCACCTATGCGGGCTTGTGAAAATTTATCACTGGATATTTTCTTTGCCGAGCAATTTCGAACCACTTTTACGCGCATTAGTCATAATGTACGGCTGCTCGCGCGCAAGAGAGGTCATACACACGCGTTATCGGAATGTTATGCGTTGGAGAGAAATTAATTAAATCAGCCGTCGATTGTAGCATCGAATGCATGAAAATCTAACGTATGTCGGTTATAATTCTCAATAGAAATCCGTTTGCTCCACAGCCATGCGCTAATGTCATTTTGGCCTATAGAGAAGTGAAAATTATTGAATATTTGTTACTTCGTGTGCATTACTATGCCAATGAATAGCGTCTCGTGCAGAATGCCAATTCATTTATCTTTAGAGTTATTATATGGATATCGCATATTACGACGATCTAATTTTCGGGATGAATTAATACAATAACAGCGAAAAGGAAAAAGTATTGATTGTAATGCAATGTGAATGAAATGATCGTTAAAGATTTGTTAAACAACTACTGACCTAGAATATCATGAATATCAAGATACAATTTCCCACTGAATTTTTTCGTATACAGCAGAGCTACAAGAAACGGTCGAGTCGAGCAAGAGGAATAAAAAAATAACGAACACATGGACTTCTGCGCCTAGTCGCACACCCCCTGTTCGATATTGCCGATTAATCTTCTCATTGAGTAAATGCGGCACGTAGCCGAGTGCAATTCGACATTCAGTTCGACGAGACGGAAACTTATTTCCTTTAGACGATGCCAGGAAAAAGATAATTATTCGGAATCTCCGGCGTTGACGCGTCGAAATCGAAATCGTAGTCCTCATGCGCGCGCGGACCCTTTTATCCTAGTCGTTAGAGCGCTCAGGATTTTCATCTTGAGTCAAAAGAAGAAAAAAGCCAAGCGCGCACGAGATAAGGATACGTGCTGGGCTTCAACGATGAAGCGAACCAGCAATGCTACGAGTCTTGGCATGTGCACACACTAGGATTCCTAGAGAAATTGAGAACGAGTTTACTCTATCGCTTTTTTTACATCCCTTCATCCTACCCCTCTGATCTCTTTGCTTGCGTAGCTATTGCTTTTTTGCTTGCAGATGTACCATGATTAACATTGTTGATGAGAATATCAATCTAAATTAACTTATCAAAATTATTGAAGTCGTTAAACTGTTTGTAAATTTTTCTTCTGTATTTGCAGCATCTGTTTCTTTTTACATCCTTACATAGAATAAATTCAAATTCAATTTCACTATAATTTAAATTTTTTGTAGTACTCTACTAATGAGAAAAAGCTTCTTGCATACTCGATACAAACAAAACGATTAATGAACTCATAATGATGTTTTTTAATTAGAGCAACTAATGTAATCAAAACTTTGCGCACAGCTCATTAATTTTACTGACTTGAATAATTAATACACTCATTATACCGATGGAGAAATAACTTGCGTCAAACTAGACTTTGAATTTCTTGTCGCATTGTACATTGATTATTCTACTTAAAAGTGCAGTGGGATCGTTACGACACAGCTTCGTATTAAAAAATACTGCAATTGAGAATTTTGAGAATGCAATTGATCCTTGGAATTGCGTAGATGTTACTTTTTCTTATTTAGGCCTCGCACGTAAACATTCCATACGAAACACTATAATATTTGCATTTATCTCACAAGTAGGGACTTGCCCACTAGCAGTCTTTTGGAGAGGCTCGCACGCAGTAGTAAGAGGTACCTTCGTAATTAAAAATACAGCCGCTCATTTCGACTCGGGCTTTTCACTTAAAGTAACCAGATGCTCTCTTTTGGTCTAACGAAGTATTTTTCAGCGTGGTGGATAGGGCCGACGTCGACGTCGGCGGTAGCCGCGCTAATGAGGGAAAAGTAGCGCTTCCGCGCGGGGAAAAGCGCTGGCGTCGTCGTTCTAATAAGAGCGCGCGCGCGCGTAGTCGTTAAAATTCAAGCAGCGCCGAGCAATTCGAGAACCGCTAATCTTTGCCCTCGCGGCCCATTTATTGAGCGGCGCGCCGCCGACAGATCGCCCATACACGTAATAATTTATTGCCTTTTCGCCACCCGCGTTCCATAGGATGACACTCACCCCCCAACGCCCATTATCAACGGCCAATTAATGGCTCGCATTAATTATTGCAATATTTATTCGAATTCATCGCTGCTTTCGCCAAAAGTGTTTCACGCTGCTCTATTGTTCCTTTATTATTCGGAATTTATTCGATTTTACTCTTGGATTTTTTTTTCTCGCCCCTTTATTCTGCTCGTAAATTATTATCGTTACTAACAGTTATCGAAAGTTTCTTAAGAGAGAAGGAAAAAGCTTTATTTCTTTGTGTCTTTTTGATCATTTGTTCTTATAGAAAGTGTTTTCATTGCTTTTATTTCCATTTCGCGTCTTATTTCTAAAGCCTTTTAGCACAGATTTAATGTGCCGGCTTCGAATGTCCGAATGTCGAGAAGAATTATAAACTTTCGAGCACTTTAGTTTTGAGACTTGACCAAAGAACTAACTTATCTTAATTTCAACTTTGAATAAATTTCACAAATCAACGAACACTGAAAATATTTCATTAAATCCATTGAAAACTAATTATATGCAATTATCGTACTATTTGTGTCGGATTATGGAAAACTTCAGACTAATATTTGATAAAAGATTGTAGTAAAAGTTAACATTGAAAGCATCTTCAAAAATAATCACTTCAAACGCCTTATTCTTGCATGAAAATGAAACTGGTACGTAGTGTAATTATTCGACGAAAGGATTAAAAATTCTTGTCAGACGAAAAAATGAAAAATTTTATGAATGTAAATTTGTGGCGGGATTCGGCCCAGAAATGTTCATTCGAAGTTTAATAAATCTCTTGTCGACGCAACGAATGAAATATTTGCGGGGCGTGGCTGAGCTCCGTTTGGATTCTCAACAGGCCGGATAATAAAATATAACAAGGGCGAAGAGCAACGTGGCGCGTATAGCCGTTGCCGTAGCGAGGACAGATATTAACATAAGCAGATCCTGTAGCCTACGGATCACGTAGAGGTACTTCTAGAACATTACCATCCTGATTATCCTCGGCATCCATCTAGTCCTATTCAAGCGCTGCTCTGTCGAGTACTTCTCTATCTCAGCAGCATAGTTCGCTCTGCTAGCTAGCTCGATGCTTTAGCCAACTACGCGCGATGAGAGGATGTTTCGCATGTATATGCATCACGTTTTTCCTTTGCCTTCTTTTTACCTTCTTTGCACGCTCGCTCTATTTTTCTGTTGGTTTCTTCGTAACGAGCTATCACCAAGATATATTCTATACGTACTAACAATCTACTTCTAGACTTTCCATGCCTTCCTGCACCATCCAAAGGTAATAATATAAATAATTTCCGTTTGGTGTTTAGCTGGATTGCTAGTAGCTTATTCAATTTAACTTTTACTGTCAAATATGACCGGTATTTTCTTGAATTATTTTATCTAGATCTTTGATCAAGTTTTACCTAACCAACACCAAAGAATAAATTTCAATTTAAT